TAAAAAGAACTAAATTGAAATCCTGGAATATAATATAGAGCTGAAAAAATTCAGTAGAGAGCTTCAGTGGCTGATTAGTCAAGCAGGAGATTGAATGAACTGAACAAGTCATTTGAAATTGTGCAGTTGGAGGATAAAAACCAAGACACAAAGTAAAACAAAAACTAAAAAAGCAAATAAGCAAAAAGGAAGGAAAGGAGGAAGAAACGAAAATGTGCGGAAACCCTAAGGGATTTATGGATGTCACCAAGTGAACCAATGCATGCATTATGAAAGTTCTGGAAGGAGACTGAAGAAAAAATGATTATTTAAAGAAACAATGGCTGAAAAATACCCAAATCTCAAGAGGGAAATGTACATCTTGATTCATTCCAGGGCACCCAAATAAATGGACCCCAAATAAGATAATACCAAGCCACCTTACAATGAAATTGTCTAAAGTCAAGGGAAGTATTGTGAGAGCAGCACAAAAAGCATGACTTGTCTGTAATATACAGAATACAGAGTCCACAAAAAAAATGTATCTGAACTTCAGAAAAAGAAAAATAGCACAATGATTTTTCAGCAGATACTCTTACCCTTGTAAGGGGGACCCTGGAGGATGTCGTGTATCACAGAAAACCTGCTACACTGCCGGCCCTTAGAGAAGGAACTGAAAATGCCTGTGAGGCTATCTCAGTGACCAAGCGGCAGCTCACTGTACTAATAAATGTCTGCAAGCTCACGGCCACCACTCTGAGCACCTCCTGTAATTTCAGAGGCCAAAGGTAACTTGTATTAATCTCATGATGCTTCAATAAATTTAGTATTAAAATATGTATATAAGTTTTTCTTTTCCTGAAGTGTGTATACATTTTCTTTTGGTGGACTTTGGATAAGGAGAATCTTACAAGTTGGCTTTCTCAGCAGAGACCTTAGGAGCCAGGAGAAGGCAGGATGAAATGTTTGAAATACCACAAAGCTACCAAGCAATAATACTGTATCTTCTTCAAAGAATAAATCAAAGGGAAATTTGGAAATACATCAAGACAAGTGAAAATTAAAGCATAACATATCAAAGTTTATAAGATGTAACAAAAGTCACACCAAGACAGAAGTTTATAGTGATAAATACCTGCATTTGAAAAGAAGAAAGACTTCAAATAAGCAGCATACTTCTGTATCACAGGGAACTAAAAAGAGAAATACATCCAAATTTAGCAGAAGAAAGAAAATAGTAAAATTTAGGGCAATAATAAATGAAATTGAGGATAGAAAAACAATTTTATTTTTTAATTTTAGAACTTTCTTTTTTCTTTTTCCTTTTTTGGTGCCAGGGATTGAACTCGGGCCTTTGCGCTTGCAAGGCAGGTGGCAGAATCACTGAGCCAAATCCCCAGATAGAAAAACAATTTGAAGAATAAAAAACTATCTCAACTACATAGTGAGACCCTGTCAAAAAACCAA